ATAATTACATTTAACAACATCACACATGTAATATTCTTTACAATAAGAATTAAGATATTTTTTTTTCTAAATTATAATTGCATGTGTCTGTTACTTTCTTAAATTAGGATGCAGTAGTAATATAATGTATGTACTGTTTATAATATGTTGTTCATAAAAATAATGTTACTAAAGTTATTTCCCTAGGTTCAGTGCATTGCTAATCAAAACATTACATCACAGATATGTCTATTTTTGATTCGATCAACTTCTCACCTCTAGCGGTCGGGTCTATTTTATTTTTATCGTTGTAGGAGAAAACGTGTTTAAAGATTAAATGATTGCAATCGGTTGGATTTGTTTTTAAATTATTTTATTACTCATTAACTAAGTTCGCGCCTTAAAACATCCTTTATCCGATCGCCATGAAACGTTAGAAAATTGTTGAGAATAGATATTTGCGGAAATAAATTGTAAATTTGCACGGTTGGCGCCCGGGCAGAGAGCGATTCGATTTATAAAAATAAAGTGGAGGTTCTGCAAAATATATTTTTAAATTTTGAAACGGCTGTTCCCCGGGAGGGTGCGGTATATAAAAAATAAAAGTCGGTATAGGTTCGACACCGTTCATCCGAATGCCATGACACTTTGGAAAGTAGATGAGAATACGCCCGTGAAGATTTCTGCGAAAAAAAAAATTCTTATTGGCAGCGCCCGGGAGGGTTTGATTTTTGTCAATACACGGTTTGGCGCTTCCAGCGTTCCAGAGCGGCTATGTTCGCACTTGGAACCCGCAGTAGGTTTTGGATACAATGAGTTCCTATAGGCGCCCACGAAATCGAATAAGGCGCGTCCTCCGGCGTCTCTGCAGGGTTTGATTTGGCGCTCAGGGCTATCCCGCGAGCACTACGCGCCTACGTTGGTTTTAAAGTGAACCCTACAATAGTGATAATCCGGCACACGACATTCGATGATTAAATGGAGCTAGGAGTGTTACGCAACGCCCGTGCGATAGTGTAATCGGTTTGTGAGAGCGCCATTTTCCGGCGGTTAGTGATTAACGGTGATATTACGGTGAGTGATTTACATACACTCAAAGCTTTCATACAGCACGCCCCGATAAATATGATCCAATCACAAGCATTGTTTACATTGATTTAACTCAGTTTTAGAACACAGGAAAGTACATTAAAAGTGGTAGTAACTAAATATTATAACAGAATAGCAGGTGTTTATTGTTTATATGTATTATTATATTTTATATCGTTCATTACCGAGTGTTACAGACTAATATTCGTTAACATCTTTCAACTTATATACGACACATAATAATATAATGAAATAATAAAGCTTAATAAATGACACTCGTATAGTTTAGAATGTTCTATATTTATTAAGCAGTAAGCAACCAATCATCTCTTACATTTAAAAAAAAAAAATTAAGTGTATTTAATAGTACCGAAAGCTTGGGTATTTAAATTTCAAGATGTTCCCACAAGTGTACATATTCTTGTTCTTCTACTTTTGTGTTGCGCTAATTTAACAGAGTAATGTTTATTTTAGGCATCACTTCCGGGGAGGGGGGGTGGAATTAAAGGCACGTCAACCCCGCCCCCCCCCCCACCCCCACGCACAGACACAACCTTATAAAAAGAAATATAATATAATTTATATAGAAAGTATATGCTATTACAATTTCATAGTTCTCGTCTATTTCTTTTTCTCTGTTGCATCAACTTTTTTTTTCCGTTACAAGAACAGCTATGGTCTGGGTTAGATATTATTTTAATTTTATAATTCCTACAAATATTATACTGTAAAAAAAAAAAGAACTTTAGACAAGATAAAAACACTAACAATTTGTGGAGTAGAGTGTATACAGACAGCTGACAGCTGCTTGGTTACTAGGTCCACCTCCACAACTGTGATGTGGCCAGCCCCGTGGCAGTAGTTCCATGCTTTCATACTTAAACCCATTTTTTAAGTCCATTTACCTAATCCTAATCAATTACCATAATTTATAAAAAAAAGTTAGTGGCTCTTTAAAAAAATAGGAAATATCGGCTCTTCAGTCTCAAATGGTTACCGACCTCTGATGTAGTTCTATCAGCTTTGTGTGACTTATTATGAGTTGATTTTAAAGATTCAACTTTAGCTTCGTTATCATAAATAAAATAATTTGCGGTAATGCACAATGATCATGACAATTAACAGAAATTCAAGCTCAAACTATGTGAGAAATTATGTAACATCTTGGAATGAGTCTTACAATTTTGAATACAAAAAGTAATTTAGTTTTGTTTTTATACATAAACTGACCTCTTAAACGATACATACGAACGTATAAAATGATATTAGATAATTAATATAATAATGTAATAGCTGATTACTATTCTTTTACTCTTTATGTACACGTTAATCAACATAAGAATTTGAAGTTGTTTCCCCTATAAAATGTAAATTAAGTTAAGTCCTTTTTATTTATCACATCCAAACAATAGAATTTTAACATATCATTCACTTAATCGGTTAGCTAGACTATCTAAAATGGCTCTTTATTGAAAGAATAATCGAGCCTTGACACTGTGTACCTTGTCCCTCAATTTTAAAGGCTTTTTTGACCCGCCATTTTTCTTAAAGAGTCAGAGATCGCGGGCAGTATTTTTTTTTATTAATTTTTACTGAATTTGTAGCTGTCTAGCGATCAACGATTTTAAATTCGGTTAATCAACGTGACGACATTATATTACATTTACTCAACTTTTCGCTGCACGTGTTTCTATAACAAACCACCTCTCTCTCTTTTTGTGGTCGGGCTGACCGTTAGCCCTACACACCTGACCAAGCGAGCACATTATAATGACGCACGCTCTGTTATTTAAATATCTAATTGTAACGTGGTTATTTTGAGTTTTTTACCTGAAAAAAAAAACTAGATCTACATCATTTTAGTTACAATTCTTTGAAATGTTTAAAAATTAACTTGACATACCGTGAATTGTTTTAGAAAATTGCCACGGATCTTGATATGGGCTCACCTGAGAGCTACAGACCGTTCTCCCTCTGCTCTAACATCAGCAAGCTCTTGGAAAGGCTTGTCAATGCCCGCTTGTTTTGGTTTTTGTCAAATAACAGACTGATAGACTCGTGTCAAGCGGGCTTTTGGTGGGGACGGCAGCCAGTGGACTCCGTTCTTCAGTTGATTAAGGAAATCACTGGCTGTTGTCACACAAAGGTCACCACCTATGTGCTGTCCTTCGATCTGAAACAGACCTACGATTAGGTATGAATATCTAAAATGACATCGATACGGAGATGGATGTTGGGAAGGTGTAATTAGCGGATGGTCTCATGACGTGGGTCCAGGGGACAAACAAAACTATCGCTCAGCAGAGAGTGAAGTTACAATCTAACCTGGCCTGTATTGCCGAGTACTGACGTAACTGGCTGTTGGAGATCAACCTGGAGAAGACCGTGTACTCGCTGTTCACGAATGACATGGCCTCGTTAAAGAGCCGGTCAAGTTTACGATTGACAGTGAAAGCCAGTGAACCTTTGGATCAGATATAGAAGCTACCTAGCGTGTGTTAGATTAAATACCGTCACTGTTTTATTTTCATAAAAAAAGATCAAACATCCAAATAGTACAATCTTATCAACTTCTTTTTAAAAAATTTACATATCACTATATGAAACATTAATCTTTGTTATTTGACTATCGTTTATTATTTTGAATTTTAAACAAAATTTCTATAGGTTACGTCATTTTATACAATTATTTCAACAACAAAAAATTGACTTTAAACTTTTATTAAATGTTTATATTTCTATAAATACATTTTGTTATTATATTTTTATTTTATACGTGTTTGCTTAATCGATTTTCTATACTTTAAAAACGTCCACTGATGTTATAAAAATTATATCATGGGAGGTAACTTTATCTAGACAGGATATGTCTACTAATTTTTATTTTCTTTACTGTGATCCATGGCATTTCCAAATAGTTATGATTACGTTTTGGGATGGGGGACCCTGTATGCAGGGCCAGCGCTAACTATAAGGCGAACTAGGTGGTCGCCTGGGGCACTATCTATACGGAGGGGGGGTGAGGGGGGGGGGCTCGCGCAAAAAAAATCTGTACTTTCGTTATTAATAAGTACCTTATAATTAATAATCAACTCAATTAAGACTTTATTTGAACAAAAAAAAAAGAAATATATGTTTTGTTTCAATATTTGTTTTGTTATCTTGGAATATAACGTATAACAAGCATGCAATCTGACAGATGTATTTATTCAACATTGAGAAAAGTATGGAGGTCTGGTGTGGCTAGAGGATGACTTGATATATCTAGTCTTTGTTCGGTAGCTTAAATAGCTGAATTGGAGACTGAGGGTTGACTGCCCAGATAAAGATTTGGCACTATAGTTTTGTGAGTGTGGGCACGGCAGGATAATGTTGGATTTGTCCAAGTAGGTGCAGATGATGATTATGGTGATGATGATGATTTCTTGACCCTAACCCAAGGGATAATTGAAAAATGTATACTTTAAGAAATTGTAACTATTCGTGACATTCGTGCTGGTTTATAACTTTCGATTTCTAACTTTGCTTTCGTTTTAAGCATAATTTTTTTTTATCTTATTACAGTTTATTTATTCTGTATCGATATCTAAGCAACCTGAAGTGTAAAGAAAACAACAAATAACTGTAAAACATTAGATTTTAGAGCAAAACAAAATCACAAGTTCATTTATATAACATGAAAAACTGTAATGAAAAACAGCCTCGAATAATCTAATATATAAAACCCCACGTTCGCACATCTCTCTCTCTCTCTCTCTCTCTCTCTCTCTCTCTCTCTCTCTCTCTCTCCACCCCATGCGAATGGCTATCTCTGATTCTGTCATTGATCGGATCACTGAGTGACTCATTGATATTATAGCACTTCCTGTGTAGATCACATGACTAATTCAATGATCATAAGCCTATACAATTCGACTCCGACTCGGGGTATTTTAAATCTATAATCAGGAGCAACGAACGAAATTTCATCCTAATTTCCGCCATTTTGAAAAAAACAATTTAGCCTACATCTCACTACAAATCGCACAGGAATTAAAAACTTTTCTTTGATTTAACACAGATCTACTAGGCTACTCTGTGTAGTAATAACAGCATTTACATTAGTAGTAGCCTGTCTAATAAAATATAGCCTAATCCAAATAATGCCGCCTAAAAGAATGTTTGAAAAATAGGCCCCTATAGGGCATAGGGCCCTACAGAAGAGGAGGTAGGACATTTTAATTTTAATTAATTAGAATATTTAGGCCCTCAAGAATACTATTGCAATTTAATTGATTAGTTACTAGAGAGTAGAGGAAAGTTTACTTGCTTTATATTTGCAAAGTGACTACTTGGAAGATTTTTACTCCCCCCCCCACCGCTATCTCGCCAGCAGAGTGATGCAAAATGCAATTAGTCTACCTAAATTTGGCTAAATAGTTGGGCTATGGACTTGATTTATTCTATTGTAGCAGCACCATAAGATCAAAATACGCTTTTAGACTTATTACTCTGACAAAACTATCTGTACAGTCTGGTCGAGCAGTTGCACTTTAGAAGCGTAGTTAAAGTATAGTAGGCCTATACTATAACTGCCCTATAGGCCCTACTTTAAATTTGTTACCGCAAGAAAAGGGCCTATTTTACTATTTACTATTACTAGTTAGAATTGAAATATTTGTTTATCTTTATAGTTTATAGTGAATGCATGATAATGAGCATTATTCAAGCTGCTGTTATATTTAGGCTTATAGACCTTAATAGTATACTCTATAGCTTAGGCTATATACTATAGACTATATATTATATACCAATATTGTGGATAAAACTTAAAGCATGTAAGCATACTCAATAATAATATTCATTAGACTTATAGTAACTAAGACTCGTACTATTTAGTACTACTTTAATACTACCTTTAAACTATTAGGCATAATGAAATAATGATTAATGATTTCAGTGTTTTCCGCACTCAAGAGGAAAGAGGCTGTAGGGAACTTAGAGACTAAACCTTGCCCTGGATTTCTGGTGATGACAATAGCAGCAGATAGTATGCGGCTCAATTAATACTAACAACAATTGATTTTAATAATTAGTGGTAAGCTCTTTTTAAAATAATATATTATAACATGGTATCGCAAAGATTCAGGTTGTCCGATAAATAGTAATTAGAGTCAAGGTTATTTAGGACTATAGTTTAGTGCTTGGTTAGTAATATGCATCAAGTTCGGAAAGACATAGAAATTGAAATACATAGAATTTAATGTGTTTATTCGCAAACGTTACTATTTAAAAATTTTTAGGCCTGCTTTTTATTGCTGAATAATAAAATCACTATACTTATCCCATTATATTATGTTTAAATAAAGTGAGTTTAGATCAGTCGAGTAAATAAATTTCATAACAACAAGACATAACTAAAATTTACAAATTTACACTGAATATATATATATATATATATATATATATATATATATATATATATATATATATATATATATATATATGTAATTTGATTGCTATTTTATAAAAGTATGTAAATCACAGAACAAACATTACTTTGTATTGTGTCTACAGCTTAACAAAAATGCAACTACTTTGATGGATTGCACTAAATAGGGGTTAGCTTTAATTTAATAATTTGTGAGATATTCTTGCTAATCTATGTGTAAATTGCTTTTCAGGACTATGAGTGTGTGTTTGGCCATCCAGATTTCATAACTACAACTGATGTTCAATTACAATGGATATTAATCAGTCTCACTGTGCCTAATCACTGTGCCTAGTTTCATCCTCAGGTAACTGTACTATAGGCATAACCCATTTTTTAAAGTAATTATTATAGCAAGAGATAGCATTATATGTTATAATAAATATAATGGATTTTAATCCAAAATATTGTATTAATTATTGTCTTTTCTTAAATTCTAATAAATCAGTGAGTTGTACAACATAGAGGGTATTATATTTGAATGATAATTGAAACACATATTGTTACAGAGCTCAAAACTATGTACTTATCTAATGTAATTAATATACTGAAACAGTTTTATTGAAGCATATTATTTCATATTTTACCACACAGAGACTGATGTGTAAGCTTAAAGTAAAGACATCAAATCAAAGTATTAGCCATCAAGAGGGTAAATATTGATAGTCTACTTCATTAATCTTCAATATGAATGAACACAATTTTAAATCTATAATCTTTTCTGATAATGATTGTTTCTTGTTATTCATCATGTTCAGTGCTTTATCTTTTCAAAGTAATTAGTCATAGTAAAGAAATATTAGAGATAGTAATATAAATTTGTAATTTATTTCTCTTGCAAGTTCCACAAAAGAAAGTATCAAAATATTTTGCCTTTATTTCATTTACAGAAAAACATTCAAAATCATATTGTGATACATAAGTCAAGCAAGTCTATGACCAGCATTTTGATACAGGCCAAGAAAAAGCTGGATACTTGATTGGAAGGGTGGCACAAAAAACATGGATTATCACTAGGGAAACAAGCTCGGAATACAGTTCACTTTTAGGACAGCAAGCCAAATACTTCTAAACTTATTTGAATCATTTTTGCTGTTTATTATAATTCATCCAATTGTCTTATTAAATATATAAATTTATATATATATACAATTCCTAATATAGAATTTCTAAAAATGTTTTATTATAATATTTAAAAATGAAACAAACATGTTCCCAGAACACAGCCACATAATGTCAACATGTTCCCAGAACACAGCCACATAATGTCAACATGTTCCCAGAACACACAAAATGGCAACATGTTCCCAGAACACAGCCAAATAATGTCAACATGTTCCATGAACTCACAAAATGGCAACATGTTCCCAGAACACACAAAATGGCAACATGTTCCCAGAACACAGCCAAATAATGTCAACATGTTCCATGAACTCACAAAATGGCAAAATGTTCCCAGAACACACAAAATGTCATTGTGCCCAGAACACACAAAATGGCAACATGTTCCCAGAACACAAAAAATGACACCATGTGCCGAGAACAATGCCCCTTACAGAATTCATGTTCCCAGAACACAGCCCGTAGTTGGTCTGCCATAAAAAGTTAACAATACTTTACTTTTTCCTTAACAATTTTACAAGCAGGTAATAAAGCCATAAATCTTTACTGTGGATATAGCCAATAAATAGGGTAACCTTCACTATATGCAATTTGTAGTTTTCAATGCCTGTCCCATGCATATTATTTAGCCTATTGTTTTGGGCCTTGCTTCATTTACTCAATAAATTATATAGGCATGAGAATTTTCATTTTAATCTGCAAAAGCTACATTCTGTACATTATTATTTTCAAACTACATCATATATAAAAATATATTGATAAAAAATATTCCTCATATTGTTTGTGTCAAGTATTTTATTTTTATCTATGCAATGCTATATTCTTATTTTATAATAATTACTTTTATACAAATTCTTTTGAAAACTGTTCTTTATTGATTTGTATCATTTTCTTTATTTCTGAAAAATAAAACTTTGTTTGGGAATCCTTTTTTTGTTTCTGTACAAATTAATAAACATAAATACCTACCAGGCTTAATATCCAGCAACATTAAACAATTAAGTAGGGCCTATTGTTAGTAATGGTAAATTTTCTACTAATTAATGTGATTTCTCTTGGCCACCTTGTTCTGAATACCTTCAACTGTGTCAATGTTGCTACCAACTCCAATAATTAAAACTGAAGCCATTTACTATGAAGTAAAACTTGGGTGTAATCCAAATCCACCCAGTTGCCGGGGGCAAGGTACCAAACATGATGTCCAGTAGAGGGTTAAGAAAGTATCATTATTAAATCACTATTAAACCCCTCCTCGCCTACGCCATTGCTTGTATGCATATGGACGTTATCGGAATTTACTGTATTGCTTATAAGTCGAAAATGCGAAAAAGACACGTTTAACATTACTAGTTTGAAGAATAACATTCATGTTAGCCGAAACAGGTGTATTCTAAAGTTGTTTAAATTCATTTTATTGTTCATTACGATTATGATGTCGTAAAATATAGGCCTATTTAAAAAAAGCATAACTAAAAAGTGTTTAAACGCATTTTCTTCTTAGAAAAGCCGCACATGCATGATATCATTAACATTACGGCAAATCAAACCCTTGAAGAAGCCCCATCAACCATTCAATTATTACGATGGGCAACAAATAAAACGCATCAAGGTACAGTCCTTATGCTATCGACATTAGCTCAACCCCGGCAACTAACGTGTCCCAAAACCAAGAATTGAAATCTTGACCCATTATTCTGATTAATTAGTGGTTAAACATCTTTAGGCATCTGAAAACGTTAGTTTTTAATCTAGTGTACTCAAAAAGGAACAACATAAAGCTTTATGCCGCCTTAAAAACCCAATCCCATGTTACGCAAGGCGTCGATAGAGAAAGAATAAGGCTTTGAGTCAGAACAGGCAAGGGCTTAGATAAATGCCAAAATACCTAATCTGTAGACCTCACAAGTCTAGACGATATATTTGTGCCTCTGTTTTTAGACTTTCAGAACAAATGCATGTGATGTGGTCAGTAGGCACATAAAAGAGAAAAGTAGTTTTAATCCAGAGACTTCAAACATTTCTGAAGGACCGAATTTGAACTTGTAGGCCGTGGTGTCGATGCCAATGTTTAGCGTCGTCCGCAAAGATAAGCAATCGTTATATCATCTCTATGCCCATATTGTGACAGATATTTACAAATGTGTCTAATATAGGACAGAATACATAGCTACTCAACAGAGATAAGCGCAATCACTTGTCCACGACTTAAGAAACCACTGTACTGCAAAACCCACCTAAATGGAAAATGTCTTAGATGTGTGTTTTAATACAAATGTGTACCTCGTCGCGAGTTAGGACCTGTAGGTAGTCTGTTACTACTCTATATATAAAAACAATAAAAAGATAACGTGAATTTTATTTGTTCAATTTCTTGGTTAACTGTATTTGTTGCATCTTGTTCAATTTTGTTAATATTGATTAACCTAAAGGGTTCAAATGTAACAAAGAAAATTGTGACTAAGTTTCCGGGTGCGGGTATGCGGACACTAGTTAAAGTAGGCCCTATATATCTATTTATATTTATAGAAATGAAAGTATGTTTATCTGTTTGTCCTATATGAATTACTACATCTTTTTCATCGGATCGCCATAAAACTTTGTGAACAGAGTTTTTTCCAGGAATCTATTCGGAGGGGGGGGGGGGGGGGGGGGGGGGGGGGAAGCAGAGCCCCCCCCCCCCCACCCCCCGAAGAAAGTCTATCGACCCCCCCCACCCCCGAACGAAACGGAATTTATATAGAAAAAAATACTTTTAACAGTGTCCGCACGCCCCCCCCCCGGAAAGATTTCGCCAGGGCGGCACCCTAGCAGGAAGCAGAAGCGTAGCAACCTATTCCGGCGCCCGGGGCGAACTATCAATTATGTGCCAACCTTATTCAAACGCTGGCAAAAAGGCGCCCATCCCTACATACACTCCCCTATATAAAATAATTGAGGATATCAGCCATGTATAAATCTGTTTTCTTAAATTTTACTGAAGAATGAGGATTTTTTAAAAAATTGTCTACCCCTTTTGGCGCCCCATTCGATCTGGTGTCTCTGACAGGAAGCAATGCAATTTTTCTCCATAAAAATAAAAGCCAGATGCAATTTGACACTGTTCGTACGAGAGTCATAAAATTTTGGGTAGTTGGTGAAAAGGGTTTCGAGAAAGAAAAAAATTCTTAAGTGTGGCACCCTGGGAGGGTTCGATTTTTCTAATTATACGATTATGAGCTCAGAATCCAGAGGGGAATCCAGAGGGGCTATCTCATCAATTGCGGTCATAGGTAATACTAGATTCAGCAGAGGCGCAGCGAGGGGGGCGGGGGGTACATATGTCCCCGGGAGCCAACCCTAGGGGCGCCAAAATGGTTGGAAAAATTTAAAAGCTCATTTTAGCTATAGTTTTGCATTATAAATATTTAAAAAATACGGGGGGGGGGACGCCAAATTGAAAGTTTGTCCCCGGCGGGAGGGGAGGAGGCGCCAAATTGAAAATTTGTCCCCAGGCGCCAGGAATGGTGCTACGCCTCTGAGATTCAGTGATAAAACTACACCAGGTTCATCCGCCAGCTCCCCGGCGGTTGAGTGGCCCAGAGCGGCCAAGACCCATCTCGGGCGACCCTACGGTTTAGATGGGCTACTATAAATGTTCACTAAGTAGAATAATGAGCGCCCGCCGGCGCCCTGGCAGTTGGCGACAGCGAGCGCCCCGGGCTCTACAGAGAGTGCCTCCTTAAAGAGAACCCTACAATAGGGACACGGTGGCACACGACATTTTATAATTAAACCGAATTAGGGGCGCCCCTGCGGAAATATAACCAGTGGCTCCCTGGAGCGCCAAGGGACGCGTCTCTAACACATGGGCGGTCGCCAATGTGTGTTCTACCTCACTATTACAGAGGTTGATTAACGTACACTCAAGGCTTTCATACAGTGAGCCTTGGTGCGTCTAGGCGGCAGTGTGGACAGACCCGCGCCCCAAAAACGAATATGTGGGTTTGTTTGTTTAAGCATTATCAAAGATTTCATTCGTTTGTCATTCAAATTTGAGAAGTTAATGCTAATACCCCTGTGGTGGTTTCTACGAAAAAAAATTCGATTTGGTGGCGCCCTGGCAGGGTTCCATTTAGCTACCCGGGTTTTCCCGTGAGTACTATGGTACCTTTGTTCGTTTTAATAATTGCGAAACGCTATGAATATGATGGGCTACTATAATCGCTCACTATACCGAGTGAAGCGCCTTCCTACCTACGCCCACCTACCTACATACCTAACTCCCTGCCTACGTACCTACCTATCTACTAACCTGCCTGCGCTGCTGCCTGCCTACCTACTTTCCTACCTACCGTTATTCCTGCCAAACTGCTTTCCTTCCACCCCGCCTGTCTACACACCTCACATCCTACTTACACACACACATATCTTCGTTTCCTTTTTTTTTTTTTGACGTTGTAACAGCCGCTAAAATATTCTTTTTTGTATGTGTGCATAAAATAGTGTAGGTTTATTAACAAAAGTAAATTTTAGTATGTATTTAAGTGTATATAATCAATTTCGTCAAGCCAATGTGTTCATAATCTTAAATTTAAAAACCCATGAAACTCGATAGCCAAAGATTTAGAATGAGAATAATTGCTATTTAACCAGTAACACCTATTCTAATTATTGTAATAATATTTTTTTAAAATAAATATACACAGAGATAGATTGTTTTCTTATATAATTTATTTAAAAAGTCAACTGTATTTCATAACGAAAATTAACACAAAATACATTCGAATAGAAACTGTCAAGGGAGACTACTCTAATATTTGTAGGAATAATAGTTTTTATTTCGAGGTTTTTTTATTATTAGAAGAAAAGTTAATCATGTAGGTTCTATAAAAGATTACCTTGCATTTTAAAAAAAAAGATATTCGATAGGTTTAGAATGAGAAATAGTCAAAATTATTTATTATATTCATTAGTTGTTTTTTTTAATAATATAGTACAAAGACCTGTTTTAATTATTTTTTAAAAATCTTATTTTAATTAATAAATTATAAATGAAGATCGAGGATCTATATTTTTAAAAAAATAGTTTAACTGTCACTAAACAATTGTATCAATCGCTGAGAAATTAAGAAATAATAATTACGTTTAACGCTTTATTAATTAAACGAGTTGAATTATTTCCGTTTTGATAAACTCTCTCTCTCTTTATAACTACTAACGCTTTATCATTGAGTTTCTTAAGAGAAAAATACAGGAGAGCGGTAGTTATCATTGACTCTGTCATTGATAATTTCATTGAGTCTTTCATAGAAAATAGTGTTTGATCGGCTGCTCTCTCTCTCTGTCTGTCTGTCCGCAAAATATTTTCGCCGGACATCACGTCAAAATCGGCAGCGATTTATGAAGAAATTTTTACGGATTTTTGTTGAAAATAATATGATAGATGTTTTAAATGTATAACCGCAATTTTATTTAAAGAAGAAAAATAAAAAATCAAGGCGTATTCGAATATAGAGAAACTATTATTTATGCAACCGGAAAAGTGTATAAACTTGGGACAAGACCGCATTTAACAATGACGTCGCTTATTGTTTACACTAAAACACTAAAACAAGGCGCTTCAAATTTGGCAGGATCTTGCCTTGGGGCGACAGAACACGGGGGCCGGTTGGCCGAAAAGTCTACGATGAGGGGGTCAAAACTGACCTCGACTGACCGGCGCCTTATATGGGCGAATTAATTAAGCATTCAAATTCTCAATGTTTTCGAAAGCCTAAGCGAAGCTGGGCAGCATGCCTAGTATAAGTATAATTACTCTGATTGTTCTGAGAGGTATTTGCAAATGTTTGAAATTACTAGTTTGTGGCTTTAAAATTTCTTAAACTTAATAAATTTACAAATATATTTTTTAACATATGGTTCAAACTCTTTAAAAACAAAACTTATTAAACCAATAAACTTTTCATCTTATTATTTAAAATTAGAAATGGTGGCCTTAATTTTTAACTCCAAACTACACATAAGTGCCTAAGTATAACGATAAGTATAATTAAAACACAAATAGTATACAGGTATATGTGTATTTTTAAAATGCCTCATCTAACATTATTCCAGGTACCACAATCTAAAATTTAGGCCACTTAAATATACAATTAAGTTTTCTTGTTTTCTGATTTTCTGGATGTAGAAGAGCCCTCTCTTCTAGTCTTTATTGCCGGGGTGTTGGTTCTCTTATCAGATTTTAAACTGTTGTTACTTGTGTTTGGTTTACTGGTGACAAGGTGCAGCTTTGGATTGAATCGGGGAGGAGAACCTAGCACTGAAGGCCTTGGGACAGAAGTTTTATCACATTTAAAGTTCAAGTCTGTAAATGTTTGTTCAACATGAAGTTGAAGTTCAGCCTCTTTCTTTTCAACAATTTCTCCAAGAACATTTTTTACTAACTCCTCCAAAGCCATTTTATTATAAGGGGTAGGGACATTCTTGATATCTTCAGAGAAGTTATATTCACTCAAGGTTTCTTTGAAATATGAATTTTTTTCTTTTATGGTTGATATGGTTTCAACTTCTTTATTATCAAGTTGTTTAATTTGTTCATCATACTCATAATTATAAATACAATAATTTTTGAAAACAATAATGGAATGTCTCAACGGTAGTTAAAGTACAGGCACAATGTTTATGACAAATTATATGCCATCTTTAAATGGTTCTTATGCTTTAAAATATAAATGAAATGTAATTACATTTTTAAAATTTAAACTTATCTTTTACATAATATATGGTCGTAAAAGTTATAATTAGGAATTCAATATAGTAATGTAATACATTTAACTATATCTGTACTGTTTAGGTACACTTTAATCAACTAAATAATGGGTAAGTTGTTTCCCTTATAAAATGTAAATTAAGTAACGTACATTTATAACATCGAAACAATATAATTCTAATATAGTTATTTCTCTTAATTGGTGAGCACAGATACATTAGTCAGATCGTATTATTCATGTTTATTTTGTTTTATTTTCCTATTCCTTTAATCTAGAGTAGTTTAGAGGTAATGTTTATTGTTTGTTTTATCGTCCGACACTCTTCTTATATTTAATGTTGGATTTAAAATGTTTTTGGATGGATTTAAATTTGTCAATTATGTCATATTTTTGTATCACTATAATTATTCGATATTTTTTTTTCTGTTCTTTCATCCACTCTTCATGATTTTTCTGTCGTTACAAAAACAGCTATGGTGTGGCAAAGATGAAAAACTTGCTCCATCACTTCTGATTGTTGAGGATATATTTTCAGTGCCAACAACGCATTTTTACAAGCTATTATTAAACTCACTTGCTGAAAATGCAAATGTATAATTAAATGAGGATTCAAGGGATTTTTTTTTCCACCGATGTGGTGGGCTGAGGGGCTGGGGGTAGGGGTGGTGTTGGCTTTCAAGTAGAGCTGAAATGCTTTTGGGATAACAGAAAATTAAAATCATACACATTTTAAGCAACCGGAAAAGTTATGTTGATTGCAATGAGACACATCACATCAAATATTCTTCTCTTATTTAATGTTTGATTTAAAATGTTTTCGGATGGATTTAAATGTGCCCATTATGTCACATTTTTGGTCAGTATTAACATTAAATATGATAGGGTTTTTTTTTCTTTTTTTTTTCTTTCACTTTTTATGATTTTTTGTCGTTACAGCAACATCTATGGTGTGTGTCAGATGTAACATTTCCTCCATCGCTTCTGTATGAATCTGATATATTTTTACAGCCCATAACCCACTTTTTAGTCTTATACTTTAATTAATTGTAGCATAAGCAGCAGTTCAAGCATAAGCAACCTATTAAGTGACATGTGCTAACTTTTCTGACAATAGAAAACAGACTAGCAATATCTTGTCTTTTCTTTTAGACTTCCTTGGTCTCATGACTAACATCCAGTATTAAATCTACTATCTGTTCCTCTTCACGTGTATGACCCAATACTGTCGACTGGTACTCTAGAAGGACAATCAAAGCATACATCAACTCGTTGTAATATATCTCAATATCATTCATTAGATAAACTCTGTGATAAAACTATGGAGGTTCCATCAACTGCCTTACCCACAGCGTGATTTGAATATTCCATATATCAATGCTGGGATCTTTACGATTGTAGTGTTTACAACCAGTGCATTTCTTTTATTCATAAAGTGCATCTGTTAAAGCATATTTTTAACGTTGTTTTATAAACACTGACTGTGATATATCAGTTTAAAATAAAACTTTTCAATGGAATTTTTATTTATAGTTTAACACGAGACACAATAATTAGAATTTGTTTTAAGTTTATTTAGGCCTAGACAATTATTTACTATGCCTATAGAACCTATAATATATGTTTATAATTAATGCCCAGCATTGAAATGCAAACACAATTTTCTTTTTTCCGTTATATCCTATAACGAAACATAAACCAAACACGCAAAGTAATGTATAGAGGCCTGTTAAATTATCGTTTACCCTGCCAGAGGCGTAGCGAGGGGATGGCGGGGGGGGGGGGGGGTGCGGACCGCACAGGGTAACGTCATTTAGGGGGGTGACACCAAGGCAAAAAATAGCAAAATATATACAGAAAAATGATAATCCCACTTAATTAAGTGATCAATTGGAGTAAGTTGAATAGTCTTTTAAGAGCAAACTTGACAAATCCCGAAAATGATGGAGAGGGGGGGGGGGGGGGGTGACACCATGACGTAAACCTGCTAATGAGCTAATGATATAGAAAACACGTTACATCAAGGTGTATTTATAACCGGCTATGGATAAAAATCGTTAGTATAATGTGAACACTGTCAAAATCACAAATATATAGCATCAATTAAATAAATACTTTTGAAATAAATTAAGGTATGTATTTTACTGAAATTATACAAATTAATAGCGAAAGTAAATTTAATATAATATTTGATTTATACTATTGTGACACCATTAAGTGCCGCACCGGACGACACCCGACCTAGCTACGCCAATGCACCCTGCTCATATATACATAACATCTACCAAAGTCCTTTTTAAACAATGTAATCGGCTTTTAACTCAACTATCTCTGTCCAACGCTTATTAAAATAAAAATTCACAATATTAAAAAAAAAAGATATAAAAGATATAAAATAATGTTAAAGTCTTTACGTTTAACCAAATTACTGTGTTAAAATGTAATATTCCTAACAATAACACTTAAACAAGTCGACTCCACTTCACCGGCCCAATGACAACATTTTGATAAGTTTGATATTTAAATGAACACTTTGAGTGTAGACAACACTAGAAAACAAGTGATGGCCATCTCAAATAATTCTCTTTTTCACCTTGGCAGGCCAGGCTTTCATCATTGCATGCGGCAACACGCTTTTGTCCTAATTCGAGCAAACGCCAATTTTCACGTTTGTCCCATTCAGGTAAAAGTTCCTTCGAGCATGTATCACAGTTAGGAAAATGTCAATTCGAATATTTAAGACATTTAGGAAAAATGTCCATCTGCAAATTGTCTTTCCGGTAATTATTTGTAGATTCCTATTTTTTTTCTCTTTAATTAGATAATAAATTAATCATTAAAAGTAATTAAAATATGACTACATTAAATAGATAAAGGGAAGATGGATGGCGAAGATGGCACCCTACCTTAAAATATCCGTTTGAGGGAGGGGGGGTGTCTGTGGGGGTGGGGTGAGGTGGTTTTCTCTTTCTACCATTCAGATTGTGCACTTTTAAAACCTGGGAAACATAAGACTGTTATGTTAATTTACTTGAGGGCTGATCGAGTGATGTTTGGCTTGAGACTGTCAAATTAAAATTAATACTTTATTTATTGCTTTCCTAAAATTATAAATAAAATAATTTTAAAGGCAAAAGTGATGAATACATAGACAGTAGTTAAAGATCAGGCTCAAATTATATGACAAATTATATAACATCTTTAAATGGTTCTTACGTTTTTAAATTCAAAATAAATTTTAATTAAATGTTTATATCGAAATTAATCTCTTAAATGATATATACGATAGTAAAGGTTTGTTTTAGAAAAATAATATAATTATGTAATAGATGTATACTATATTTGAACGGTTTAGGTACACATTAATCAACAAAATAATTTGTAAGTTGTTTCCCTTATAAAATGCAAATTAAGTCCCGATCATTTATCACACCGAAACAATATAATTTTAATATGTCTGTCTCTTAATTTGTGAGAGCAGCACAGATATAAGAGTCTGAACAATTTCATTTTATTTAATAAGTGTGTAGAGTGTATATGGAATAGTTACGTCGAATAATTGCAACAGTATTTTTCATGTTTGCTTTGTTTTATTTTCACATTCAATTAATATGGAGTAGATTAGACGTAATGTTCTATCGTTTCATTTGTTGTCCGCCGTTCTTCATTTATTTAATGTCTGATTTAAAATGTTTTTGGGTGGATTTTAATGTGTTCATTTATTGAATTTTCGATCACAGTTATCAATTATTTTTTATTTTTTAATGTTTTTATGTTTTTCTTTTTCTTTTCCTTTTTTATGATTTGTTTTGTCGTTACAAAAACAGCTATGGTCTGGGTTAGATTTAACATTTTCTCTATCTCTTCTGATTGTTGCTGCTATATTTTTACAGCTAAATAAAGCACTGGTTAATTTCAAACTTGCAAGTATTGATGTTTAGGCAGCTCCTGAAGCATTGTTTCAGTTAGCTAGATCCAGTTGCGTAGCGAGGTCGGGTGTCACCCGGTGCGGCAATTAATGGTGTCACAACCCCCCCCCCCCCCCTAAGGGGCGGAGCGACCCTTCCCGCAGACAAATTTTAGATTTGCACCCCCCCCCCCCCCAACTTTCGATTTGCAACCCCCCCCCCCCTTCAAATTTTTCTCTATATATTTTACTATTCTTTTGCCATGGTGTCACCCCCCTAAATGGTGTCACCCGCTGCGATCCGCCCCCCCTCGCCCCCTCCCCCTACCTCGCTACGCCTCTGGCTAGATCAGCAGCTTTAAAGAGAAGATGCATTTGTGTTAGTAGTATGTGAGTACACATTCAGTTTAATAGCAATCACGCAGCCAAGTTAGTTATGTGTTTATAATATCGTTTGCATTTTTTACGATAAAAATCAAATAATTTGATGACTTTGTTTGACATTTGGCAAAATGTATTTTAGTTTCCACTCAGTTCTATATAGCGGTGGATAGCACTGTCACCTTGAGCTGCGGGTGTTGTCATTTACATTAAAGTAAATAACATGCAATTGTTTTTACACTTATATATATTATGTTATATTAGTATGATTTGACTCTGATCGAGAACCCCTGAAGTTTGTTATTCAACTTGCCACCTTTGTAAAGACAAGGTAGTATTTCTATATTAAATCGATCGTTAGGGAAAGAAATCAACTCTATTTTAAAAAGTAAATAGGCTACAGTTCTAATGTATGTCGTGAATAATGTCTCACAGTGCTGACTATACAGCCTTCTTATATTTAGAGGTAAAAACATACATGATATGTATTTTTACTTCATGTGTACTGAACCACAGTAGTAGATTACACATATACAACGTGGTCT